CTGTAAGACAAACTCAGGAAGACCTCACAAACTTAGACAACTAGGTTGCTAGTCGGGAACACAGCTTAATTATATATGCCTCTGTAGGCAGTTTGGAGCCTGAGTTTGAGTGAATATCAATCAGAGATAATTACTTTGAAGGTAGGGTCCCTTTGTGTATCCAGATAAATAAGAGAAGGTGCTGCCATTGTTTGAGTCAACTTCAGAGGGAAGTGAGGTGAAGTGGCATCAATTTTTGGGGGGAGAATGGGTTTTGGAGGATGGGATGTTGGAGGAGAAAGTGGCCACACAGCATACAGTGCAGAGTCAGAAGTTTAAATAAATTCTTCACAACCAGGTGTTGTGAAAGGGAGAAGGGTGTATCTCTTTGGGTAGGCCTCCACACATTGCTCTGGAGACATTGAGATAACTGAGCAGAATTAGAGAAGGAATTTCTGCATTCTGATTCTATAACATCCATATTCTTCCCCCGCTCTTCCTTTTTTTTTTCAATATTTTTTATTGTGACAATACTGTACAGATGGGCTGGGAAGGTGGCTCAGTGGTAGAGAGCTTGCCTTGCATGCCTGAGGCCCTAAGTTCGATTCCTCAGCACCACATAAGCAAAAAGAAAAAAGCCGGAAGTGGCGCTGTGGCTCAAGTGGTAGAGTGCTAGCCTTGGACTGAAGAGCTGAGGGACAGCACCCAGGCCCAGAGTTCAGGCCCCACGACCGGACCCAAAAAAAAAGAAGAAGAAAAAGAAAATACTGTACAGAGAGGTTACAATTACATGAGCAAAGTAATGAGTACATTTCTTATCAAGCATTGTTGCCTCTTCCTTTGTTTTCCCTTCCCATCTCTTCCCATCCTCCCTCTCCCCCCCCCTCCCCGCCCCGCGCCAAAGTTGTAAAGTTCGTTTTTCGACATAATATCTTGTACATCTCATTGCTGCAATGGGTCCACCTGTATCCCTATTTAAACAACTTGTTTTTTTCCTTCCCCTCCCCAAAGTATACCAACATCAAATACAGTGAAAACAGGGGTTATACCGTGGGGGAGGGACATACAAAGCAACAAAGAAATCATCTTATAAATATGTTAGAAACAATAGCAAGAAAGAAAAATCATTTGATTCCTTATCTTGGAGTTCATTTCACCTACTATCAAGTTATCTGACCATTTCTGCTTGTCTCAGGCATATATAGTTATTATTCTGACCATAATATTGTGCTACCGTTTTGGGAGATGTTAACTCTGCTGGGATCTATGTAAATGGCAATTATCTACATTTGTTGCTTTAAACTGAAATTGTATTTCCCAATTAAAAAATAAATAAGATTAACTTTAGCAAATAAAAAGTATAGATTATAAAAAAGTTAAAAATAAATAAAGAGGAGGAGATGGGGCAGCTGCACTGAGTCAGTTAGGGCTGTTGCAAGCCTGGTGACCTGTGTCTGGAGAGCTCTGGGATTCCTTGGGGCAATCTCTGGGGTCCAGAGTCAACTGCAATTTCTCAGGATACCTGAGAGTAGAGAAGGAGCACGGCCAGGGCACCAGGAAAAGAGAGAAAGACTCATAGAGAAATTTCAGAATATTTATGGCAACCATGACCATTTAGATTCTGGGATACTCAAAGATGTACAACTATGGTAAGTAACTTAGGTGCTGGCCCTTAGGGAATGCCTAGGAGATGTGGAATCTTTGGAAAATCTTATAGAAGATATACATAAATATTTGTACATAAAATATATTATATACCTATATATAAATAAAATGAAATCTATGTTTATATATACATATACATTTGTTTTTCTTCTACTGCATTGTTAATGGGGAATTAACAGCAAGGTGACCAAGACTTTTCCAACATAATATATTCCCCTAGCTGAAAAATGGTCATTTCTAAACCTTTAGGCATTTAATGGCCCAGAATCTAGAATTACTAGCATTCTAACCACCTTAGAATATTTTAAACCTGATTAAAATTGGTATTTGATTGACTGGCTATAAAAATGTACTAGTCTGCCATTTCAATGGCAGGACACCCTTACTCTTCATATGGTGACAGAAGGAAAACAAAACAAACATATCTCCCTTACAGTAGACCTGACAGAATCCCCACAGGACTAGAAATTCACCAGAATAGTAAAAAGCCAGAAATGTAGAAGGAAATGGAAACGTAGGGAAAGTAAATGAAATTTTGCACATGACAAATTGCGAAAAAAGTTACGAAACATGGATTTTAGCGTTTTCTTCTATGTAAAAGGCCTAAAATTTATAAACACAATTTCCAAATGAGTTATACTTTTCTTTCCTTTCACATTAATTACAGAAGCCAAATGTCATTTTTAAATATCTGATCACAAGTGTGAACTTACAGAAATAGGGCTGAGTTTGGTTCCATAGGAGAAATTTTAAGATGAGGAAAAGTAACAGCCTGATACTACACTGATGGCACACTAAGATTTTCACTAGTGACAGACTGTTATTTAGGGATCTATTTATATTTTTTTTCTTATGGTAGCCAAAAAAGGGAAAACATGTTGTAATGGGCTAGGTATTCAATAGGTATTCAGTAAATGGAAAACTCAAAGGTAGTTCTTCATGGATTGGTAATCCAGCATTCACCTTTTATTAGTCAAACACATTTTTATTAGTATTACTTGCCAGCCCTGTACTCTTCAGTAGTACTTCATTATTTTATCCCTTTATTACTGGATAAGGTTATTGAATGCTGCAAGGAGAAAAAAAAAGGTATATTGTAACACTTAGGGCAAGATCAAAGTTAGGAAAAAGTCTGTACTGGAACATACTGAGGAACAATTAAGGCCTCTTACTGTGGACATTTATAAATCAACAAGTATAGTATCTGTCAACCTATCATAGTTGTTGATGTATCCAAACTTTCAATTGGTGTGTAATAATATTTGATTAGTGGTTAAAAAAGGATTATTATAACACAGATGGGTTTATATAAGAAAAGGTTTGGTCAAAAAGGTTATGTAAAAGTTGGTCACATACTATGAAGTTAATACACAGCCACAATGAGTATGGCAGCTTTAACGTGTCCTTAGTTGGGATTTGGAGATGGTAAAAATATTTGTACTAATATTTCCTCTTCCCTTTTCCTCAGTGTTCATTTCCACACTTGGATTTTATTGTTTTTTTTTTTTTTTTTTTTTTAGAGCTCCTTGATCTGCACAAACATTCTAACAATGCAATTCCAGGTTATCTGCATGTGTTCCACCATGTGAGCCATGCCCCCAGTCATTTTGCTTTGAGTTTGTTTTTCAGGTAGGGTCGTTTGCTAACTTCATCCTGTTAGCTTGGGATTCTGATCCTTCCACAGACACCTGCCTAAGATTAAAGAAATGTGTTACCACACCCAGACTTCCCAAGGCAACTGTCAAGTCTGATTTTATGGCTTTCTTTAAACTTCTAGAAATGATTATATTCTAAGAATGTGTTTCTTAAATAACGGAATAAGACTGCCATATATTAATTCGAGTGAGCTTTTCTGTCTGTTCTTATTTACAATTCTAGTATGCCTCGGATGTTAATGTTTTTCTGGTTATGAGTGTTTTGCATGTATAAGGAGATAATTTCTACCATGAACTTGAGTCACGAGCCAGGTGCCAGTGGCTCATTATGTAATCCTATTGACTCAGGAGGTTGAGATGTGAAGATCATGGTTGGAAGCCAGCCGTGGCAGAAGATTCCACAAGACTCTTATCTCCAATGAACTACAGTTTTCAGAAAAAAAGCTGGATGTGGTGCTGTGGCTCAAGTGGTAGAGCACAAAAAGACTCAGGGACAGTGCCCAGGACCTGAGTTCAAGCCCTGGACCGGCAAACAACAAACAAATGAAAAAACAGATGTCATACCATGGGGATGTAGATCAATGGTGGAATGGGCTCAAGAGCCTAGGTTCAATCCCTATCATCTCCATCACCCCTCAAAACATGGTATGTCTGTGCATTGTACAGAGGTAGATACTATTTGAATCCCTTTTTCCATTTTCTAGGGAAGGAGTGGATTAATGATCTGTGTGTAATGGCAAAGATCTGTAATGGCAGTACTTGGGAAGTGGACGATGTGGGTCTCAGGCTGGCCTGGCCAAAAACCTTCAGGCCCTATCTGAAACAACAAAAAACCCACAAAACTAAACTAAAAGCTGACAAAACAATAAGGGCTGGGGAGGGATGGCTCTAGGGTCGGACTGCTTCCTCTGCCATTGAGGTCATCAAACTCCAGTCTACACAAATCAATGTTAACTGATGCAGCTGAAGTCTAATGGAGCTCGGACAGACACACACGTACGGTGGGGCCCTGGACAGCTCTGAAGAGATTCGCTTCGGGGTGTGAGATCCTACGTGTGTCTCCTTGCTGTGAGCTGAGTAAAAAAGTTCCGTCGCTGCCCCCCTTTCTTCCTTTAAATTCTAGGTGGCTGACGGGGCCGGCCGGCTCCTCTTCCCGGCCGGCGCCGGTCACCCCCCGGCCAGCGTCGGCAGACCGGGCCTCCGCTCAGCATCCCCCGGCGCAGGACAGCGACGCGCGCCTCCGCCGTCCGTCGCCGCCCGGGCCTCCGCGCAGCTGTCGGCTTCAGCTGTTCAGAGTTGAGCAACAACTTGCCCCTTTGGCTCGGCAGACCGGGGCGCGCACACGACAGCGGCCACGCACGTCTCCGTGGCGCTGGAGGGGCCCAGGTGGGCTGTTCGGGTAGGGAAGGCTTTTTCCTGCTGGGCACAACCCGGGACCCTCGTTCTCCGCACCGGGCGCCCAGCCTGTCCCGAGTCCGGTGGAACGAGCAATTCCCAAAACCCGGCGGTGGAGTCGGAAGCCCGGAAGTGGCCGGCGAGGGCGGCCGCAGGAAGAGCCGGCGCGCCGCCGCCGCCGCCGCCGCCGCCGCGCGCACACGCACGCGCACGCGCACGCGCCTCGGCGGGCCAAGCTGAGGCTGGAGTCGTAACTCGGAAGCCGGAGCCCGGACGGGCCCGGGGCGGGGTGGGGGTGGGGGGGGGCGGGGTGCGCGGGGGCGGGAGCGGCGGAGGCGGCCGCCCCTGGCGGCGGGTTTGTTTATCCCGGGGAAGAAGTTTAGGAGCCGGGGATTGGAAAGGAAGGCAGCCCGGGGAGGAGGGATGCGGCTCGGCAGAGGCGGCCGCCACAGGGACTCGCCGCCATCGCCCCCTCCCGCCGCCGCCGTCGCCGCCGCCGCCGCCTCAGCCACGGCTCCCGGGGCCACCGCGGCCGCCACCGCCTCGGCTGGAGGGGAGCCGCCGCCCGGGGCCGCGCGCCGCCGCGCCGCACGTCGGGTAGGTGACCCCCCCCCTCCCTCCGCGCCCCGCGTCGCCAGGGTCCCCGCGCGGCCTCCGCCCGCGGCCTCCGCGGTGCGGGGAACCGGCCGGCTCCCGCCGCGCGGCCCCGGCCTGCCCCGGGGCTGCCTCCCGGCTCCCCCCACCCTCCGTCCTCCCCGCTTCTCCCCTTCGTCCTCCTCCCCTCGGTCCTCCTTTCTGTCCTCCCCTCCGTCCACCTTCCTGTCCGCCCCTCCTCCCCGCACCCCCCCCTCACTCCCGTCCTCTCCGGGGGGGGGGGGGATGGCGGCCTCCCTCCTGGATCTCCCGGCCTCCCGCCCAGCAGGGTCCCCCTTCTCCCCCTTCGTTTTCTCCACCGGCCTCGCCCCTTTTCCTCCGGTCCAAATGTCTTCCTCCCAGAGGAGCTCCGCGCCAGCCAGCCTGCTGGCTCGCTCTGCCACCCTCCCTGCGTGCCCTGTTCACAGCCACAAGAACCGCACCCCCCCCCCCCCCATGCGTGCTCATCCAAATACCCCGAGGTCTGCGTCCGTTCGCCGGGGAGCTCTGGGCTCTCCGGACCCACGCGGTGCACATTCCGCCTGGGTGGTCATGCCATCCCCCCCCCCCCTCCCCTCCCCTCCCAAGCACCACACTTGCCTTCTCGTGAGTTCTCACATGTAGCCGCCAGCCAATCTCAGGGACCAAGTCTTGGAGATCCAGATCTTGACTTTCCCCCTTTCTATCTCTTGCTACTGGCCTTCCCCCCCCCCCCCTCGTTATTATTTATCGGTCTTGCCTGTTTGTGTGCTGGCTGATATAAAGGAAAAGGGTTAGAAGAATTTTCTCCCTTACCGTAGTCACAATCTAGAAGTGAGATTCACCTCCTCCTCCTAACTTTGTTTAATCTTTCAGGTCTGTAAATACTGTCATCCAGCCACCTGCCATTCTTCCTGACGATTTTACCTATATTTTAACAATCCTGGACCTCGCTTTCCCGATTATGGTAGTCTTCTCACTCTTCTTTTCCTTAAAATTACACTGTTTCTAGGACTGCAAACTAAAGTGGTGAAAGGGTTATACCTTAGAAAATGATAGATATCTCATTCACCAGGCGGGGACTTGGGCATTACTTCATTCTTGAGAGTAATGTGGCCTAGTGGTTAAGAGCTCAAACTCTGTAGTGTGATTGCAAGATTTCTGCTCTGGCATTTGCCAGCTCTAGCTTTTGGCAAGTTGTTTAACTTCTCTGGCCTGTAGTAGTCTTATAAAGTGAGTCTGTTGATAAGCCTCAGAATAGTAGTGATTACACCGGTTGATGAAGGTAAATTGCTTTGAGCAGTGCCTGGCACATGGTTACCTTTTGATAAATGTTACCTTTATTACTGCTTTTACTTGTTTTGGTTATTGATAGGTTAGTTCTTAGTGAAGGGTGGTACCGGAAAGCTGCTTTCTTTTTAATACCTCTTTTGGTACATAGGACATGTATATCCTTATTGCATAGTTGCATTTTCTTCTCAGTTGAAAAATACAGTTTAGCCTCAGATATGCTCATTCTTATTTCAGGTATCTATTTGGAACTTCTAAACCTGGATTATAGTTTTGAAAAAGAATGAATTGGAACCATGTGGAAATTTGACCATAATGGATAGTGAAGGTTTTACACAAAACAATTTTAGTGGTACAAAACACTTAAAACTTGTGGGAGGGATATTCCTCAAGCCCATTTAGGTTGAATGTTCCATCATTAGATAGAACTTAACTTTTTCTTTTGTTACAATCATTCATAGTTACATACCTTTGCTTAATTATCAAATGTTATTCACTTAAAATTTTTTCACCATATTTGCTTACATTTTCCTTGATGTCACTTCATATATTCTTAAAATCTAAGTAAAAATCTGAAATCTGTTATTCAAAAGGTAAAATATGTAAAAACTGCCCTACATGTAAAATAAGTACATATGTAAGTATTGAAATGGAACTGTTTTCCCATTTTTAGCACAAAATTATTTTGCACCACTAAAGCAATGTGCTCCATACTGAGTGACACTGCCTTTGAGAAGAGAAGACTCTTCCTTGGCCTTGAACAAAGTAATATCCTTTGCCATCTCATGCCTGTAAAAATAAAATAAAATAAAATGCTTCCTGGTTTCCTAGTGTCTCCATTCTGAATATTGGACTTGGAATAATACAGGCAGCACAATTGGAAGAAAAATGTCTCCCCTAAGAATCTGGCTTTTAAAAGATTATAGAAAACTTTGAAGGAGTAAAGAAAAGTTAGCCTAGGCTTTAACATGATTCCTCTGGTTTGTAAAGATTCCAACAATATTATTTTAAAAACACCTGCTGTGGGCCTTGCATTAGGGATACCTGAGGGCCTTCTGTGATCCCATTGAAAATCAGTCCTAATACTCTTAAGTCATTCAAGGTGTGTAATGAATGACTTCATCTCTTGAGCACCTTTAATGGTACTAGTTATATACTGTTCTTGAGAGAACTGAATAGTCAACATAAATCAGTCTTTGTAGGCCTTAATATCTACAGAGCCCTGGTTGGAGAAAATTGTCAAATAATAACGTTAATAATGTGACCTCTGCATCTTTCTTTTTCAACTTATATTCTAGTATGCACTGGCAGTAAACAAAGTAGATACAATTTGAGAGGATTGGCAATGTTATTAATGATAACACGATAGCTCATATTTATAAAACACTGCTAAGCACTGTTTCAGGATATTTATAAATTAACTTATTTAAACTCAGTGATCCTGTTTGTTTCTTTGACAGTAGTGAGATTTTGAACTTGGGGCCTTGTGCTTGTCACAGGCACTCTGCTGCTGAGCCGTGCCTCTAACCTGTAGACTCTGTGGTCTTCAATGCAGATTTTATTATCTCCATTTTTCACAGGAGGAACTTGAAACATTCAACTTCCACAAAATGGTACAGTTCAGTGAGCAAAGCAGTGGGCAGAATGACTCCTGAGTCTGTTTCTCACTCTTTTGGGCTTTCTCACTTGTCACTTCCTTGTGATTACTTTAGATAAGATTCTGTATGTTTATGAGAAACTTACTTTTTATAATTTAATATCAACCCTTGAATTTCCTTATCTCTTTTAGGTTGTGTAGAGAAAGAAAAAATGAACTTTTGTAAAACACTTGGTACCCAGTTTTATCTCAAGCTTTATACATGACTAGATATTGTAGACATGTATATTGGGTGGTCTATTCATTGTTTTGTTTCCTAGTTTGGATTTGCTTTCTTAGCAAAAGTTTATTAAACAGCTCATCTGTGCCAGACACTCTGCTAGACGATGGTGACACATTAATGGTAAAATGGTACCTGTATTTATGTAGACAGAACTCAGCTGGGGCATAAAGAAACCAAACAAAACATTACAAAAGTAATATTTAGATATAACTGCCCCAGTGGAAAATGATTGTAAACAGTGTAGCCCACTAATCCATTAAGGAATGGTTCTCTGTAGAAGTGACTTTTAGTCTGAAATGTAGAGTGAACTGTAGTAACACAGTGATGTTGGTTATTTCACCTTTCTGGAACGGTGGACCTTAGCATGTTAGAGTAGTTTTATGGGAAGTGAGACCAGAGTAGATCACAACGGCCAATATCCATGCTAAGCACTTTGTATTTAAGCCTAAGAGCAAAAGCAAGTCAGTAGAGAATGTTAAGCTACCCAATAAATTACTTAGAATTTCTTTTTTGCTTTAAAAATACCATTGGTTGCTAGGTAGAGGGCAAATCGGTAAAAGGCTCATGCAGGGAGAAGAGTTGGGTCCATGCTTCTCAAAGTTACCTGTGATGAAAGACCAGTTTTATTTTTGTTTCTGACTTGTATTGGTGCTTTAGTAACATTTACTAAAATATATGCGTTGGTGTGTCAGATTGATACGTTTCTTAGCTTATGGGCCAATTTATTAGCTTGCAGAACAGACATTGGTATTGAGTTCAGACGTAAGTAAGTTAAAGGGCTGGGGAGATAGCTCAGTGGAATAGCATTTACTTAGTAGCCTTTACAAGAATTCAAGGCTGTGACTTCTATCTCTAGCACCACTTGGGTTTCATCCTTAGCACAATGGAGGATGGAGGGAGTAGTTGAGGAATGATGGAACCTTACTTCAGGGTAGCAGTGTTGGTGATAAAGTAGCCCAATTTGATAATATTTGGGACTTAAAATTGATTTGCTAATGGATTATATTTGGCAGCCTAAGGAAAAGAGGGTGATTCTTATCCCTAAGGTAGGGAATACTGGAGGCAGAGCAGGATTTTAATTAAGTAGTATCAGGAAAGGAGAGGTATTAATGTTTGAAACATTACGCTTGAGAGAGAGAGAGAGAGAGAGAGAGAGAGAGAGAGAGAGAGAAATAGATGTCTACAAGTAGTTTCTATATCAAGAAAGATTTGAATTGGAGATGAATTTGGGAATTGTCAGCACATAGTTTAATTAATGCCTTGGAGTAGAGGGTAAGAGTGCTTGGGGAAAAAAAAGCTAGAGGATAAGACGGCTTGAGCCTTGACCTAATGGTTCTAGAGTACTTATATATTGGGGGAAAAAAGTAAAAAAGGATACTGAGAAGGAGTAACTAAGAGGTTCAAGGAAAATTTGGATGACATCATTGAAACCAAGGAATAGATTACATGAAAAAGATGGGAATGCCAGTCAGCTATTTTGAGTGCAGCTGAGAAATCAGCAAAGTGTGCTTTGGATTTAGCAACATGCAGAAACAATTTGAGTTTCTCAGTAGTCTATTTGATGATGAATTATGTTTTAAACTGCCAAAGCTACAACCCTAAATTTAGAATAAAATTACATCTATAGCATGAGCTATGCCTTCTTTTTTGAGCTCAGACCAGTGTTCCTGTTTATCACCATCTGGGTATTCTATACATACATTAAACATTTAAAAATAACTCTGAATTCGTAAGTTGTAAGGGGGAAAGACCCACTATTGATAAGACACTGAATTCTAGACTTCAAGGTGTGTGATTAAAACTCGGGACTAGGTG